TGTGTATTTAGATGACTTGATTCTATTGCCACATCTTAGCCATTATGTTGTTACTCTGAATAATTATACTTAGATGATTGCGTTTCTTTTAAAAATTTCCTTGGCCAGGGAGATAGCTCAGTAGAATAAGCACTTGCCTGGCAAGCACAAGGTCCTGAGCTCAATTCCCAGTACTGAAAAGAAAAAAAAATCCTGAGTATATATAACTTTTAGTAATAACATTCATTACTATTTTCTTGAATCTGTTCTAGCATACCTCCAAAAGTGTAATCTAAAAATAAAATTATAGATGTCTTATATAGATTTTAAACTATTGACCTTTTAAAGTTCTTACACTAAAATTGCACTAGAAATAGTTTATAACTGGAATTTCAAAGCTATTATCATTGTATTAATATAAATTTTAATTCCTTTACAATTGCATTTAGTTGTCTGTCTCTTTTCATAAGGAAAACTTTCTTTCGTATGTTCACTGTATTCAAATTACTTAATATATTTCTCAGGCTAGTTTTCTTCCCTGGAGAATGGGAATAATAATAGCTCTATACCACACAGGGCGGTGGTGGCAAGCCTGTGGGCACACAGGGCGCAGCAGGCGCCAAGTACCTTTTCACCACCAGCCAGGTCACTCCAGCATCACCCAGCAGCAGAACTGCAGGCAACAGTTGTTTTCTTCTAAACTGAAACCTCAGTATTCAGGTTCACTTGCAGTGTTGTTGTTTTGTGATAAATAAGTGGGCTCTGGGTTGCAGTTTGGGCACAAAGTCTCCTCAAGGCTCCCCATCACTGGGATAGGATATAATTTGCTGATGTTTAATAAATGCTTCACTTTCCCTTCTCCCGCTCTACCTTTTTTAAGTCAGATTCTGAAATATGCTTTGTGCTATGACTAATTAAGATGGTTGATTCAAACCTTCCATTATTTGTTGCAAGTATTCACAGGTGACTAAATTACACGTATGATCAGAAAGATGCAGAGGTATTTATGCAAGTCCTGTGTTCTTTTCTTATTCAAGGAAAAGTCTGTCCCATGGGGCTGTGTTTATGTGATCCTTTATGGCAAATGTTTTGAGCCATGAGGTTGATCCTTAAAACACGTGGTTATTAATAATCACAAATCATAGTCATAATTCAACAGTGAAAAATTAATTCTGCTGTCCCCCTTTTAGCAACTTCTTCAGATAGTGAAGCAGAAAACTAATCAAAACTCAGTGGATACAACATTGAAGTTCACATTGAGCGCACTTTGGAACCTCACGGATGAATCGCCAACCACGTGCAGACACTTCATTGAAAACCAAGGGTTAGAGCTCTTCATGAGGGTTCTAGAGGTTAGAACGGGAGCTTTAATCTACTCTTCTGATATTTATTGATTTACTTGTGTAAGCCTTTCCTTTGTCTCTGTGTTTTGTGGGTGTAGTTACAGATTTTTCTTCTTTCCTTACAGTCTTTCCCAACTGAGTCATCCATCCAACAGAAAGTTCTAGGACTTTTGGTAAGATATGAACATTTCCTGTTAAACTGCAGTTGTGATTATCTTTCTATCTATGGGAACACAAGAAAAATTGGTTCTATTTTTATGAAGATTTGATGACCCTGTAAAGTAATACACTATAATTATTAATTTACAAAATAAACAGGCAGTGAGAAGTTCGTCTGTAATGCCAGCACTGGGAAGGCTGAGACAGGAGGATTGCAAGTTCAAGACCAGCCTGGGCAACTTAGCAAGACACTGTCAAACAACAAAACACCAAATGGCAATAAAGGCCTGGCTTGGTGGCACACACCTGAAGTCCCACCTGCTCAGGAGACTGAGGTTGGAGGATCACTTCAGCTTGGGAGTTCGAGATCAGCGTGGGCAATAGAGTGAGATCTTGTCTGTTTAAAACGCACACACACATACAGACACACACACACACACACACACACACACACACACTATATATATATATATATATATTACATATATATAAACATTTTTCATACTTTAAAAAAAATATAAAAAGGCAAAATATAAATATATGTATATACTTGATATTTTTCATATTGTGCAAGGTTTCACACTGAGCATATTTTTTTACAAAAATTTTCATGAAAAATATACTTAATCTACAAGTATTGTTGGTTGCTATGTTTGGGAATTAATAATGACTTCTTAAAGTACTGTTCAACAAGCCAGATACTTCTTAATACTTTGGATATAGGTTAAGGTGAACTTCTATGATTTGAGAGCAAAGATGAAGGATCAAATGTTTTGTCAGCTTAAATTACTGCCACAGGCAAAGTGCCTGTGTAGTAAAAGCATTTTATACTAGGCCTAGGCTCAGAAGAAATTAGGTCATGAGAGGCATACATTAGTGAGTAAAAAATATAAATTAGTGTTTATTTCCACACGCAAGAGTATGGGATAATAAGTAGTGAGGAGATGAATTTGGGGGAAAGCCGAGGGCTGGCATTTAAGGAGATCCTATCTATTTATAGTAGCTTTAGTTATATAATGTAGAAAAAGGAACACGATGTAAATGTCTGGTAATAGAAAAAGTATTGAATAAATGACAAGATCTGATTTAAGAAATTGTTTAGTACTACTGGGAATCAAACCTAAAACCCTTATGCATGCTAGGGAAGCACTGTACCACTGAGATATATCCCTAACCTTTTTTATTTTTTTATTTTGACACAGGGCCCTACTAAGTTGCCCAGGCTACTTGTGATCCTCCTGCCTCAGCCTCCCAAGTAACTGGGACTGCAGGTGTGTGCCACTGTACTGGCCAGTACTTGATTGTTTTATTCAGGGTTCAACAGATTATTATATGCAGAAGGTGACTAACATCAAGAAGAAAGGGAGAAAAAAAAAAAAAAAGAAGAAGAAAGGGGGAGGTGTTGGGTACAGTGCTGCACACCTGTAATTTCCACATTTAGGAGGCTGAGGCAAAAGACCTGTGAGTTTGAGGCCAGCCTGGACTATGTGGTGAGTTCAAGACTGGCTTGAACTGCACAGTGAGACCCTGTCCCCAAAAAAACATGAATAGAAAGGAGGAGGAGTGGAGGCAGTAGGAGAAGGAAGAGGAGGAAATTTATTTAATGGACAGAGCTTTGAGAATGCCTTTTGGGTCTGGGAGTATAGTTAAGTGGTAGAGGGTTTTTGGGTTTTTTTTTTTTTTTATTTTAGGGAAGGGTCTACAGGGTGTTCAGGGTCTCACTACTAGATCAGACTCTTAGTGATCCACCTGTTTACAGCCTCCCAAGAGCTGGGATTACAGGCTTGTGCCACTACACCCAGTCTCAATCGCCATAGTAGTGTGCTCAGGGCCAGGGCTGGCATGGCAGGCCCAGGGATCAAACCCGGGCCCCTGAGCTTGCTTGCAAATGCTTAAATCCACTGAGCTATTTGGCTGGCTCTCAGTGGTAGAGTTTTAAAATTTTCAAAAGTAATACATGTTCTCATTTTGGCAGCACATATATTAAAAAAATATATGTTTATTATGATTAATGAAACATTGCAAAATGTATTTTAAAGGTTTTAGCGAGCATTTGGGTCCAGATCACTGTTGGATTCTAGGGTCACAAAGCCAATTAAGATCTAGATAATAATTTTATGTCTTTGTACCCAACTTCATATCATTTTCATCTTACAGAGTAATTAATACTACTATCATCTAGGCTAACGGTTTAGTACTTGCTTAGCACAGGTGAGACTTTGGTTTGAGCCAAACCTCAAAAAAATAGTGTTTCTTATAGATAACATACACTTTGCATCTTATCCAATTTGATAATTCCTGCTTTTTGGTAGGGAGTTTTTAAAATGTTTCGCCTCCTTACCCCACCATTCATTTCCATGAAACTCTGTATCCATTAAAGAGTACCATCTTGGGGCCAGAGAGACAGGTCAGTGGCATAAGTGCCTGCCTGGAAAGTTCAAAGTCCTGGGTTCGATCCCTGGTACAAAATAAAGGAGTATCACCTGTTTCACATCCGCTTGGGCCCTGGCAACCATAATTCTATTTTCTACCTTTTGAGATTTTTAACTATGCTAACTACCTTGCGTAAGTGGGACCTTACAGTATTTGTCTTTTTGTGACAAAGAATTAATGAAATTAAGAATATTCTTACATATTTATTTGCCATCCCTAGAGCCTCTTTGGAGAAATACTTGTCCAACTCCTTTATCTGTCTCTTTTAAGTTTTAAGACTTCTCTATTCTGGATATCATTCCTTTATCAGATATATATTTTACAAATATTTCCCCCATTTTAAATGTAAGTTTTTTGTTTTGTTTTGTTTTTTAAAACAGGGTCTCACTATGTAATTCAGGCAGGCCTATTATGTAGCCCAAGCTGGCTTTGAACTCAGGATAGTCCTCTTGCCTCAGCCTCCCCAGTGCTGGGAGTACAGACATACACCATCATGCCTGCATTTTTTTTTTTTTTTCTTCAAAAAATAGAGAGTCTTGCTGTGTTGCCCAGGCTGACCTAGAACTCCTGGGCCAACCCTAGTAGTTGGAACTACAGGCATGCACCACCACATCCAGTTTGCGTGGTAGTTTTTGATTGAATGCTAGTCATAGTGAATTTTACCTTCTTAGTTGCTACATGTTTTTATTTTCCTATAAATATTATTAAACTTTGTCCTGGGGTACAGTTAACTTACTTTTAAAAAGTTTGACTTTTTTTTTTTGTATTTAGTACAGGGTTTACAGTGTCTCACTACATAGGTTGGATTCTCCTGTTTTCAGCCTAGCAAGGGCTGGGATTACAGGTGTGTGCCACCATGCCCAGTCTCATTTGCTAACTCAGCGCTCCCCCCGGGGCAGGGCCGGCACAGCACCTCGGGGAGTCAAACTCCTGCTGCTGTACTCTGCCTAAGTAGGTGCTTTAGTCCACTGAGCTATCTGGCTGGCCCAGATTTGGGGTTTTGTTAATATGATTTATTAGCTTTCATAGTAATGATCAGGCTTGGGCTAATTATTCTCTATTACTGAAATATGACCTTTTTTTTGGAGATAGGCTCTCAGTATGTTGCCCACAAATGTCTTATTACATACCTGGGCTCAAATGACCCTTATACTGCAGCTGAATAGCTGACACTACAGGTGTGGCTTACCAGGCACAGTTCTCTGATTCTTTTTTGATGGTTCTTTTCCTGCCCTCTAATAATTTGTTTAAGCTCATATGTAGTAGTCCTTCACTATTTCACAGTTCAACTTTTGTGGACTTGCTGTTTCCTGTTGTTTTTGTTTTGTTTTGTTTTTTTCCGGGAACCGGGTATTGAACTCAGACCTTTGTGCTTGCCAGGCAAGCGCTTATTCTACTGAGCCATCTACCTGGCCCTTGTTTTGTGGGTTTTCAAAAAATACTAATCTAAGTTATTCATTGTGGATTTTTTGCTATGTTGCAGGATTTTGCAGTACCATACAGTATACATATGTTGTTAAAATTATGTAGGTTTAGGAGTTTAGAAAACGGGTTAAGAATGTGAGAAGTGTTTTTTAAAGTGTAGGAAAGGTTTATGAGTTTTGGAAGGGTTTAGAAAGCCTTAAAACATATAAATACAAAAATAAATATAACATTGCTACTTCACTGATTTTCACTTAAGCAAGAATGACTAGAACATAACTTCCGTGATATGCGAGGGGCCACTGTACTGCTTTGTACTCTCATTATTGGCATTCTGTGGGCTCCTAGAGATTTTTTTTTTCAAGTTCTTGTTGTCCTGAACAAAGAATTGGACTAGACATGTGCAAAAATTAGAGGGTTTGGGCCTGGGGATATAGCTTGGAGGTCTAAGCACCTGCTTAGCAAGTGCAGGGACCTGAGTTTGATCCCTGGTACCGCATGCTGTGCTGGCCCTGAAACCAGGTGTGGTGGCGCACACCTGTAATCCCAGAGCTGGGGAGGCTGAGAGAGGAGAATCACTGAGTTCAAGCTGTGTAGCAAGACCCTGTACCAAATAAATAAATAAAAGATTTAAAATTTTTTTTAAAGTACAGGTTTTATATTTATTAAAGGTAGGAGAAGAAATAGGCTCTACAGAGCAGTCTGGGCCAGTTAAAGTGGGTAATAGAAGTAAGCTCTTCAAGGTGGCAGTCACCTCAGAGCTTACAGTGGCAATGAGGTTCCTGGCATTCGTCTTTCGTAGGCTCAGGCTGACATTTGATCTAGGCTGTCCTGTCAAAAACCTGCTTGATCTTGCACCAGAATCAAGGATGGCATTTTCTTGTTTGTCTCAGGAGCAAAACTTGGGAACTGTTTTTCTGTGAATCTGTCCTGGATTCCATGTGACAGATCACACCCATTTGCCCAGCTGGCTGGCCGAGCCCTAATCTGCCTCACTATTGAATAGAGGGCTCCTCTGTAGATTTCTGAACTTTCTCTCTGCATTTTTCTTCATCCTGGTATTGTATCCTGTAAGTTGTTGTGAATTCATCTCCCTTCCCTCTATTCCATGAGTCCATAGAGCTCTTCTGCAGGGCTTTATCTCTCTTCCACAACCTATAAATCTTAATCCTTTAGTATCTTCAAAAATGTTGTTTTGTGTTTGTGCTGTTTTCAGTGGTGTCAGAAAGAAGTGTGATTTTTAACTGGATTTAGGGTCTCACTATGTAGCCCAGGCTGGCCTTGAACTCACAGCAATCCTCCCACCTCAGTCTCCTGAGTGCTAGGATTACAGATGTGTGCCACCACACACAGTTCTTTATGTCTGTTTCTGTCTCTGCCTGTCTGTCTCTGTCTCTATCTGTCTCTGTGTCTCTCTGTATGTCTGTCTCAGAATTTAACACAGAACTTTGTGCATGCTAGGCAACCACTGAACCTCTGACCTATATCCCAGTGTTCTGGGTTCTAATCAAACAGAGACTGAGACCAGAACAGATTGGAATTTAGTGAGCCTTTATTAACTGGTCCGGTGGCTGGCCAGATGCACTCCACACAGGGAGGCATCCAGCCAGTCCTGAAACAGAGTTAACCAGTCTTTTATAACAATAACATAGCTGCGCACTGTTTATGACTAGGAGGTTCACACTTTTTAGCCGTAAGTGGAACTTGCCCCAGATGGGACCTGTTACAAAATATGGTTAGGGTGGAAACATATCAGCTGTATACAACACTAGCAGGCTGAAGAATCTATACTTGAGCCAGGAAGTGATGCTCAAGGAGCTAGAGATCCCTGCCAGCTTTGGCCAATAGAAAAATAACCATTTTAGTGAAGACACAAGGTTCCTCCTAGTAATTTCCCATAAAATTCATTTACCTCCAGCCAACCCAGTCCTGAAGTTACCAGTAACACATAACACCCAGCCCTTTTTTTCACATGTCTTATTCTGAAGGTATACTGACCATTACTCTTACTCAAATTTTGTTGTGTGGAAGTCTTTTATTTTTTCCTTTTTTCCTGAGACAGGGTCTCACTATACATTTTAGGCTGTCCTTGAACTTGCTGCCTAGCTCAGGATCCTCTCACACTTAAGACAAATCCTTCTGCCTCAGCATTCC